GTGTGTGTGTGTGTGTGTGTGTGTGTGTGTGTAGGTTGTTGGAATGCACAATAAGCCGTTTGTATAAATAATCTGACAAATGCAAAAAACATCTAGTGTCATACCTGGGGTCAGAGGTCACTGTTGCCTCACGGAGTGCAGGGGGATTCATCATATATGCATTACTCTTCACAGACACACCACTGGGTTCTGGAGACTCTGATCTCAGCCTCTTCGACCTGCTGATAGTGACAATGGCATATTAGGCCCGTCTGCTGTCAATTTATGATCTCAACCACTGATTCCTGTCTTAATGTATAGCTTGAATGCACTATACTTTTACATTTATTTATTTAGAAGTCACATTTATCCAGACCAAATTACAGTTCCGAGATTCAGAAAGTGCAGGTTCAGGAAAGTGATTTTTGTGCCTCTCTGTGATGCTACTAAATGAGGTACTGTTCACCCACCGACTGCAGGCTTCTGGAATTCAGTGCAAGTCAATTAAAAAAAAAGCATCTGGCAAGTGTCTTACCTGAGGTCAGAGGTCACTGTTGCCTCACGGAGTTCAGGGGGATACATCATAGATGCATTACTCTTCACAGACACACCACTGGGTTCTGGAGACTCTGATCTCAGCCTCTTCGACCTGCTGATAGTGACAATGGCATATTAGGCCCGTCTGCTGTCAATTTATGATCTCAACCACTGATTCCTGTCTTAATGTATAGCTTGAATGCACTATACTTTTACATTTATTTATTTAGAAGACACATTTATCCAGACCAAATTACAGTTCCGAGATTCAGAAAGTGCAGGTTCAAGAAAGTGATTTTTGTGCCTCTCTGTGATGCTACTATATGAGGTACTGTTCACCCACCGACTGCAGGCTTCTGGAATTCAGTGCAAGTCAATAAAAGGCAAGTGTCTTACCTGAGGTCAGAGGTCACTGTTGCCTCACGGAGTTCAGGGGGATTCATCATAGATGCATTACTCTTCACAGACACACCACTGGGTTCTGGAGACTCTGATCTCAGCCTCTTCGACCTGCTGATAGTGACAATGGCATATTAGGCCCGTCTGCTGTCAATTTATGATCTCAACCACTGATTCCTGTCTTAATGTATAGCTTGAATGCACTATACTTTTACATTTATTTATTTAGAAGACACATTTATCCAGACCAAATTACAGTTCCGAGATTCAGAAAGTGCAGGTTCAAGAAAGTGATTTTTGTGCCTCTCTGTGATGCTACTATATGAGGTACTGTTCACCCACCGACTGCAGGCTTCTGGAATTCAGTGCAAGTCAATAAAAGGCAAGTGTCTTACCTGAGGTCAGAGGTCACTGTTGCCTCACGGAGTTCAGGGGGATTCATCATAGATGCATTACTCTTCACAGACACACCACTGGGTTCTGGAGACTCTGATCTCAGCCTCTTCGACCTGCTGATAGTGACAATGGCATATTAGGCCCGTCTGCTGTCAATTTATGATCTCAACCACTGATTCCTGTCTTAATGTATAGCTTGAATGCACTATACTTTTACATTTATTTATTTAGAAGACACATTTATCCAGACCAAATTACAGTTCCGAGATTCAGAAAGTGCAGGTTCAAGAAAGTGATTTTTGTGCCTCTCTGTGATGCTACTATATGAGGTACTGTTCACCCACCGACTGCAGGCTTCTGGAATTCAGTGCAAGTCAATAAAAGGCAAGTGTCTTACCTGAGGTCAGAGGTCACTGTTGCCTCACGGAGTTCAGGGGGATTCATCATAGATGCATTACTCTTCACAGACACACCACTGGGTTCTGGAGACTCTGATCTCAGCCTCTTCGACCTGCTGATAGTGACAATGGCATATTAGGCCCGTCTGCTGTCAATTTATGATCTCAACCACTGATTCCTGTCTTAATGTATAGCTTGAATGCACTATACTTTTACATTTATTTATTTAGAAGACACATTTATCCAGACCAAATTACAGTTCCGAGATTCAGAAAGTGCAGGTTCAAGAAAGTGATTTTTGTGCCTCTCTGTGATGCTACTATATGAGGTACTGTTCACCCACCGACTGCAGGCTTCTGGAATTCAGTGCAAGTCAATAAAAGGCAAGTGTCTTACCTGAGGTCAGAGGTCACTGTTGCCTCACGGAGTTCAGGGGGATTCATCATAGATGCATTACTCTTCACAGACACACCACTGGGTTCTGGAGACTCTGATCTCAGCCTCTTCGACCTGCTGATAGTGACAATGGCATATTAGGCCCGTCTGCTGTCAATTTATGATCTCAACCACTGATTCCTGTCTTAATGTATAGCTTGAATGCACTATACTTTTACATTTATTTATTTAGAAGACACATTTATCCAGACCAAATTACAGTTCCGAGATTCAGAAAGTGCAGGTTCAAGAAAGTGATTTTTGTGCCTCTCTGTGATGCTACTATATGAGGTACTGTTCACCCACCGACTGCAGGCTTCTGGAATTCAGTGCAAGTCAATAAAAGGCAAGTGTCTTACCTGAGGTCAGAGGTCACTGTTGCCTCACGGAGTTCAGGGGGATTCATCATAGATGCATTACTCTTCACAGACACACCACTGGGTTCTGGAGACTCTGATCTCAGCCTCTTCGACCTGCTGATAGTGACAATGGCATATTAGGCCCGTCTGCTGTCAATTTATGATCTCAACCACTGATTCCTGTCTTAATGTATAGCTTGAATGCACTATACTTTTACATTTATTTATTTAGAAGACACATTTATCCAGACCAAATTACAGTTCCGAGATTCAGAAAGTGCAGGTTCAAGAAAGTGATTTTTGTGCCTCTCTGTGATGCTACTATATGAGGTACTGTTCACCCACCGACTGCAGGCTTCTGGAATTCAGTGCAAGTCAATAAAAGGCAAGTGTCTTACCTGAGGTCAGAGGTCACTGTTGCCTCACGGAGTTCAGGGGGATTCATCATAGATGCATTACTCTTCACAGACACACCACTGGGTTCTGGAGACTCTGATCTCAGCCTCTTCGACCTGCTGATAGTGACAATGGCATATTAGGCCCGTCTGCTGTCAATTTATGATCTCAACCACTGATTCCTGTCTTAATGTATAGCTTGAATGCACTATACTTTTACATTTATTTATTTAGAAGACACATTTATCCAGACCAAATTACAGTTCCGAGATTCAGAAAGTGCAGGTTCAAGAAAGTGATTTTTGTGCCTCTCTGTGATGCTACTATATGAGGTACTGTTCACCCACCGACTGCAGGCTTCTGGAATTCAGTGCAAGTCAATAAAAGGCAAGTGTCTTACCTGAGGTCAGAGGTCACTGTTGCCTCACGGAGTTCAGGGGGATTCATCATAGATGCATTACTCTTCACAGACACACCACTGGGTTCTGGAGACTCTGATCTCAGCCTCTTCGACCTGCTGATAGTGACAATGGCATATTAGGCCCGTCTGCTGTCAATTTATGATCTCAACCACTGATTCCTGTCTTAATGTATAGCTTGAATGCACTATACTTTTACATTTATTTATTTAGAAGACACATTTATCCAGACCAAATTACAGTTCCGAGATTCAGAAAGTGCAGGTTCAAGAAAGTGATTTTTGTGCCTCTCTGTGATGCTACTATATGAGGTACTGTTCACCCACCGACTGCAGGCTTCTGGAATTCAGTGCAAGTCAATAAAAGGCAAGTGTCTTACCTGAGGTCAGAGGTCACTGTTGCCTCACGGAGTTCAGGGGGATTCATCATAGATGCATTACTCTTCACAGACACACCACTGGGTTCTGGAGACTCTGATCTCAGCCTCTTCGACCTGCTGATAGTGACAATGGCATATTAGGCCCGTCTGCTGTCAATTTATGATCTCAACCACTGATTCCTGTCTTAATGTATAGCTTGAATGCACTATACTTTTACATTTATTTATTTAGAAGACACATTTATCCAGACCAAATTACAGTTCCGAGATTCAGAAAGTGCAGGTTCAAGAAAGTGATTTTTGTGCCTCTCTGTGATGCTACTATATGAGGTACTGTTCACCCACCGACTGCAGGCTTCTGGAATTCAGTGCAAGTCAATAAAAGGCAAGTGTCTTACCTGAGGTCAGAGGTCACTGTTGCCTCACGGAGTTCAGGGGGATTCATCATAGATGCATTACTCTTCACAGACACACCACTGGGTTCTGGAGACTCTGATCTCAGCCTCTTCGACCTGCTGATAGTGACAATGGCATATTAGGCCCGTCTGCTGTCAATTTATGATCTCAACCACTGATTCCTGTCTTAATGTATAGCTTGAATGCACTATACTTTTACATTTATTTATTTAGAAGACACATTTATCCAGACCAAATTACAGTTCCGAGATTCAGAAAGTGCAGGTTCAAGAAAGTGATTTTTGTGCCTCTCTGTGATGCTACTATATGAGGTACTGTTCACCCACCGACTGCAGGCTTCTGGAATTCAGTGCAAGTCAATAAAAGGCAAGTGTCTTACCTGAGGTCAGAGGTCACTGTTGCCTCACGGAGTTCAGGGGGATTCATCATAGATGCATTACTCTTCACAGACACACCACTGGGTTCTGGAGACTCTGATCTCAGCCTCTTCGACCTGCTGATAGTGACAATGGCATATTAGGCCCGTCTGCTGTCAATTTATGATCTCAACCACTGATTCCTGTCTTAATGTATAGCTTGAATGCACTATACTTTTACATTTATTTATTTAGAAGACACATTTATCCAGACCAAATTACAGTTCCGAGATTCAGAAAGTGCAGGTTCAAGAAAGTGATTTTTGTGCCTCTCTGTGATGCTACTATATGAGGTACTGTTCACCCACCGACTGCAGGCTTCTGGAATTCAGTGCAAGTCAATAAAAGGCAAGTGTCTTACCTGAGGTCAGAGGTCACTGTTGCCTCACGGAGTTCAGGGGGATTCATCATAGATGTAAGCCGTTTGTATAAATAATCTGACAAATGCAAAAAACATCTAGTGTCATACCTGGGGTCAGAGGTCACTGTTGCCTCACGGAGTGCAGGGGGATTCATCATATATGCATTACTCTTCACAGACACACCACTGGGTTCTGGAGACTCTGATCTCAGCCTCTTCCACCTGCTGATAGTGACAATGGCATATTAGGCCCGTCTGCTGTCAATTTATGATCTCAACCACTGATTCCTGTCTTAATGTATAGCTTGAATGCACTATACTTTTACATTTATTTATTTAGAAGTCACATTTATCCAGACCAAATTACAGTTCCGAGATTCAGAAAGTGCAGGTTCAGGAAAGTGATTTTTGTGCCTCTCTGTGATGCTACTAAATGAGGTACTGTTCACCCACCGACTGCAGGCTTCTGGAATTCAGTGCAAGTCAATTAAAAAAAAAGCATCTGGCAAGTGTCTTACCTGAGGTCAGAGGTCACTGTTGCCTCACGGAGTTCAGGGGGATACATCATAGATGCATTACTCTTCACAGACACACCACTGGGTTCTGGAGGCTCTGATCTCAGCCTCTTCCACCTGCTGATAGTGACAATGGACAAAACAGAATCAGGAATTTGCCAGAAATGCACGAACACACAAAGAATTTGCTGTGGTTTCCAGGAGCTCTGGGGTACATGCATCCATACATGCGTATATAAAACAACAGAATAGAAAGAAAATATGCTGCCATACACAAACATACAAAACAATGATCATAAAAGTATTTTATTTGTGTGCTGTAATCCAAATCTTTGGTATCTGTGTGATACTTTCCCAGACAGCAAAATGCACTTGGGCCAGTTCCAGTTCATTTCTATATCTACTGTACTGTTCATTAATATTTCATTTAAAATTGATACCTAGCCTAAACATTTACTTTCATTTTAATTATATATATTATAATACATATATAACATGAATTAAGAAATCTATGAACATGTTTTAAATTTTAAAGTCCATTAAAGAACTCACTTGATTAAGCTGGCATAAGGAACATTTATTTACACAACAATATATTTCCAAAACCTGTGAGGAACAGATCCCACTTCAAACCATTCAGTGATATTAATCTCCTTCTTCTGTAGCTATAGTAACAAATTCATAGTCTGCCACCTCAAGAAGCTGTACGACAAGTTTTATGACAGTAATATCAAGTGCTCAGGCCCATGCGTCGCCCTAGTCTTTAACAGGAACATAGTGGGCTGTAATTGGCGATGCCATTTTGCTGCATCGGCGAGGTCTGCGGACTCACACCCAGTTCAGTACCTTGATGTTAGTAT